ATTGGAATGGAAAAGGTCAAACTTTCACTATTTGCAGATGATATGATAATTTACATAAGTGACCCTAAAAACACTACCAGGGAACTCCTACAGCTGATTAATATACTTTCAGCAAACTGGCAGGATACAAGATCAACTCAAGAAAATCAGTAGCCCTACTATACACAGATGATAAAAGGGCTGAGCAAGAAATCAGAGAAACATCACATAACATAAAATACCTTGGGGTAACCCTAACCAAACAAGTGAAAGACCTATATTGCAAAAACTTTGAGTCTTTAAAGAAACAAATTAAAGAATTCACCAGAAAATGGAGAGATCTCCCATGCTCTTGGATAGGTAGGATCAACATAGTAAAAATTGCAATCTTGCCAAAAGCAGTCTACACATTCAATGCTATCCCCATTGAAATCCCATCACAATTCTTCACATACCTTGAAAGAACAATTCCCAACTTTATATGGAAAAACAAAAGACCCAGGATAGCCAAAAACCACCCTGTTCAACAAGGCAACGTCCTGAGGCATCACCATCCCTGATTTCCAGCTCTATTATAGATCTATAGTCCTGAAAACAGCTTGGTAGTGGCACAAAAAAGACAGGTAGACCAATGGAATCAAATAGAAAAACCTGATATTAACCCACACGCATATGAACACTTGATTTTTGACAAGGAAGCTAAAATTACACAATGGAAAAAAGACGGCATCTTCAACAAATGGTGCTGTCATAACTAGATTCTGGCATGTAGAAGACTGCAGATAGATTCATGTCTATTGCCATGCACAAAAGTTAAGTCCAAATGGATTAAATACCTCAACATAAATCCAGTCACACTGAACCAGTTAGAAGAGAAAGTGGGAGGTACCCTTGAACTAATTGGTACAGGAGACTGTTTCCTGAGCACACCACCAGCAACACAGACAGTGAGATCAACAATTAATAAATGGGACCTGCTGAAGCTGAGAAGCTTCTGCAAGGCAAAGCACACAGTCAACAGACAAAAAGGCAGCCCACAGAATGGAAAAAGATATTCACTAATCCGACATCTGACAGAGGGCTGATTTCCAAAATCTACAAAGAACTCAAGAAGCAATTCTCCAAAGCACCAAAGGATCCAATTAAAATATGGGCTACAGAACTAAACAGAGAATTCTTAATAGAGGAGTCTAAAATGGCTGAGAGACACTTGTGAGAGTGCTCAACATCCCTAGCAATCAGGGAAATGCAAAGCAAAACAACTGAGATACCATCTTACTCCTGTCAGAATGGCTAAAATCAAAAACACCAAAGACAGTTTATGCTGGAGAGGATGTGGAGAAAAGGGAATACTACTCCACTGCTGGTGGGAGTGCCAACTCATGCCGCCACTGCCACTATGGAAATCAGTATGGAGATTCCTCAGGAAAATGGGAATCAGTCTACCACAAGACCCAGCAATTCCACTCTTAGGCATATACCCAAAAGATGCACATTCATACAACAAGGACATGTGTTCCATTATGTTTATAGCAGCACTATTTGTAATAGCCAGAACTTGGAAGCAGCCTAGATGCCCCTCAACTGAAGAGTGGATAGAGAAACTATGGTACATTTACACAAGGAGTACTATTCAGCAGATAAAAACAATGGAGTCTTGAAATTTGCAGGCAAATGGATGGCACTAGAAGAAATCATCCTGAGTAAGGTAATCCAGTCACAAAAAGACAAACATGGTATGTACTCACTCATATATGGATTTTAGACATGAATCAGGGGAGTGCCAGTCTACAATCCCACTGCCAGAGAGGCAGAGAGACAGGAAGGACCCTAAGAGAGATATACATGGTACCCCAGAGAAGGTGGAATGAGGCAAGATCTCCTGAGCAGATTGGGGGCATAGGGTGGGGGAGGGGAAAGGGAGCCAGGAAAAAGAGAGGGAATGAGGAGGAAGGGAGAGGTGCACATGGGGGAGCAGGAAAGTTGCGTTGGGGGAAGAATAGAGGAGAGCAGGATGAGAGATACCATAATAGATGGAGCCATTCTAGGTTTGAGGGGGAGATCTGGCACTAGTGAGAACTCCAGAGATATACAAAGATGACACCAACTGTCAAACTAAGCATTAGAGGAGAGACTACTTTAAATGTCCCTCCCTAATAATGATTCTGATGACTATCTTATATACCATCCTAGAACCTCCATCCAGTGACAGATGGAAGCAGAGGCAGACATCCACAGCTAAACACTGAACTGAACTCCTAGATCCCAGTGACACAGAGGGAGGGATGATGAGCAAAGGAGTCAAGACTGGGCTGGTGAAACCCACAAAGGCAGCTGACGTGAACAAGGAGGAGATCTTGGCCCCCAGACTGATGGCTGAGAGGCCAACATGGGACTGATCCAGACCCCCTGAATGTAGATGTCAGTGAGGAGGCCTAGGCAATCTATGGGGTTTTGGGTAGTAGATCAATATTTATCCCTGGCACACAAGTTGACTTTGGGCTCCCATCCCACAATGAGGGATGCTTTCTCAATCTGGATACTTTGGGGAGGGCCTGGGTTCTCCCTGGAACAAAATGACAGACTCTAGAGATTCCCCCATGGAGGGCCTTACCCTTCCCAGGGAATGGAGTGGGGAATGAAGTGGGGATTGGGTGGAGATTGGGGGGGCTAGAGGGAGGGAGTGAGTGGGGAGGGGAGGGAGAGGGAGCTGGGACTTACATGGGAAGCAAGCTTGTTTCTAATTTAAATATATAATAAAATGTGTAAAAATAATCATACACAATTTCTGTGTGTGTGTGCATGTGTGTGTGCATGTGCGTGAGTGTGTGTGTTTGGATATGTGTATGTATATGCACGGGGAAATCAGAGTTCCAACAGTTCTTCAGAGGTCATTTACCTTGATTATTGAGGCAGGGTAATCTCACTCAGGTGTGGGGCTCACCGAATGGGCTAAGGTGAATGAACAGCATTGCAGTGCCTGGGATGTGATGGACAGGTATTTTGGCACTTGGGAGCCAAAGAATTATGAGTGCTACAACTCGGATAGAAAGGTATTCTGGAACTCGAGAGTCAAGGTATACTACAGGTTATAGTGAGCATAGCAGCTTACAGCCTGCTCCAGGGAAAGGTTTCCCCAGCGAAACAGCTCTGCTACAGCAGGGAGGGCTTCCCTGGCAACGTTGTTACAGTTTGGAAAATTTCCCGGGAGTGTAGTGTAACAACTCTGCTTTGCTAGGGGAAACTCTGGCTCTGTCAAAAAGTTGTTACTTCTCTCCTCTCTCTGCTCCATTCTGGTGAAGGAAGGTCTCACCCAAACCTCACTCAAGAAATTTATTGGGAGGGAATAGTCCAGGAGAGTGTCTGCCTCTGCCAGGGTGGAAGAGGACAGCTGAGCAGCCAGACAGAAGCTGAACAGGCACAGGGTTTATATAGGGCTTCTTAGGGGCGGTTTTTGTCCAAAGAGATTTCTAAGGTGACGATTGGTCAGATTCCAGTCCCTGAGCTGAGACTGACTAGATCTCCTGCTCAGGGATTGGTTGTTTTTTCTACACAGGTTTAGGGTCAGAATTGGCTCTGGTTTCAGGGCCAGAGTGTGTTTTTGTCTCTGGTCCTTTTTAGCCTTTTGGCTTTAATTTTAGGGCTAGGGTGTATTTCTTGCACTGACTCTGATTCCAGGGGCAAAGTGTGTTTCCTTAGCACTGGTTTCAGGGTCAGGGTACATTTCTTTGGTTCTGGTTGCAGGGCCAAAGTGTGTTTCTTTTCTCTGCTCAGGGTGTGTTTCTTTGGCTGGACCTTTTTCCTTACAGTTAGCCCTGGGGATATGCCTGTTTCCACCTCATCATCACTGTGATTACAAGCACAAGGCACCACTTTCAGCTTTTATGTGGTTGCTGAGGACTGAACTCAGATCCCACACATTCGTAAATCATGACTTCTATCTCCAGCCGGTCAACAAACTGTTTTCTAATGGCAGGGAAATAAGAAAGTGACCCCAACAAAAGACATTGGGTACATTTTTAAACATTTTTTTCTTCTTGGTTTCCTTTCCAACCTTATCCCTAGCAGAAGGAGATGCTCTAATATTCTAGGAGTGTCTCACTTCATCAAAACTGCAAACAAAGAATTTTCAGCAGCTAAGTGCAATGGCATACATCTTTAATCCCAATGCTAGGGAAGCAGAGGCAAGTAGATTTCTCTGAGTTCGTGGATAGCCTGATGTATGATGTAGTGAGTTGGGCCAGCTGCGGCTATGTAGTAAGATTCTGAAAAGCAAACACAAAAACAAGCCTGCCAAACAAATACAACAAAATACCAACCAGCTCTCACCATCTATCCAGAGAAAACATCAGAACCGTGTATTGCAATGCATTGCCTTGTAATATCCTCATCTTCATTGCCAGACTATATGCAATGTCAAGCTAATTCAGTGCTAACCTAGTTCCGTGTCTCAACACTTGGTTGTCAGACCATGACTGTACATAGTGTGTGTCCCTGTTCCTTTAAAGTTCATGATATATGTTATGTAATATCATATCCCTCATTTAACTAGCAGCAAGTAGCTAATTTTTGCTAAGAACAAAGAGGGAGTTTGCAGAACCTCTTATTGTAGCACACACAGCTAGGAAAGCAGCAGAGAAAACGTCCGAAGTGGTGCCCCCTACTGGTTTTGCTCCAGCTAGGAGAAATGTCCGAAGTGGTGCCCCCTACTGGTTTTGCTCCTTGTGTATTTTTCCTCACACTGCCGATGTTTTCCTCCACCGGAAGTTCCCTAGTAGTCACGTGCCAGAAGGCACAGAAATCACAGTACTATAACTAGCCAATGAGAATTGTCCTCTGGGAAATTAAGGCCCGCCCCCAAGCAAAGTTCTGATGGCTGGCGGGTAATCGGCTTTTTGTCAGAGCAAACTGCTGCTTGACCTGAAGTGAATTTGCTCTCCTAGTAACGGTAGCTCAGGTGTTCGCTGCTGCCTACAGTTGTCCAGAACTAACATTTCCTTGAGACAATGGCATCCCGAAACATGGAGAAATTTTGCAAGACAGTTCCTAACTTTCTCACCAAACTCTGGGTATTAGTAGACGACGCCGTCTTTGACCATGTGATTCGCTGGAGCAAGGTAAAAGACTGGGCGGGAAATGCGTGGGTGTACATAGAAGGATGTAGCTTAGGAAAGAGTGTTTTTGAGGTGCGGGAAATTTTCAGACAGGTTGAAGAGCAGATGTAAAGAACAATTTTTCGACCTCCACAGCCCTTTGGTGGACGTCGAGTTTCATAAGACGATTAAACCTCACTTCACCGAGTACCATGATTCCTGACAAAAGCTCTGCTCGTTTTCTACCTTTTTATTTCTCTCAGAATCACTAAACACGTGCTGCATGAGGAAAAAGTCACTCAGAATTGGACAGCTTCACCGTAAACATATGAGTAGCACATACTCTGGCCTTTCTACTAAAGCACAAATTATGTGGCTTCTTGGGTTTTATTCTGTGATACTTGTTATGGACGTGACATCATACAGTATGTTCCATGAGTGCTCTAACACTGAGCTACACAACTAGCCCTTACTATTTCTTTCTTTGAAAGATACGGTCTCACAATGTAGCCCTGCCTGCCCTGAAACTCACTGTGCAGATCAGACTGGTAAAAAAGAGGAAGTTTTCCTGCCAAGAGTACCTAAAACGGGTGTTCCATGGCTAGCTACTGTCACAGTTTCTGAGAGAATTTGTGATATACCCATTTTATCACTGGGGCATTGTTAGCCTCTCATTGTATGAGCTGGGTGAATTATGAATGCTCTTTTTTCACTGTGATTTTGATTTATATTTAGCTTCTAATTACTCTGGGGGTAAAATCTGTTAAAGGCAGATTGTGGCTAGTTGTCTAAAGTAATATTCACTTTGGCATCATATCCGTTTGTTCTTAAAACAAGGTTTCACTCTGTAGCCCAAGTTGGTCTTGGTTCATGATCATCTTACCTCAGCCAACCCAGTGCTGGTAATACGGGAATGTACTACCACACTCAGCTGAGCTAAAACTTTTTTATTAATAAACTGTCAACCACAAATATACTAAAGTGGTATAATGAATTCCAAGTACCACAGCTAACTTCAAATAATGATCACCTCACATCAGCTCTTGTTTCATAAATATCTCTTACTCATGATTCATTTGAAGAAAATAGTGGGTATCATCTTTAATTTATAACTTCTTCGTGAATATAGCTTAATACAAAAGAAATATTGAAGTAAATGTTTTATATTTAAAGAAATTAAAGCTGGGATATAGGTCACTGATAAAGCACTTATCCATCATGTTAAAGGCCCTGAGGTTATCAACAAACCACAAAAGTAGTGATAATAACTTATTAATTAGTTAAATTGGTTTCAAGAGTTTAGAGTCAATCTTGTATCCTAGTGATCCTTACCCTTGGATATTCATAATTCTGATGTTATGCAAAGTTTGTGGGCACTTTTTCCATGTCATATATAGAAGACACTCTCTCAAAGCAAATGTCTTAGTCCTCTAGCACTTGGACTCTTCCTAACCCCTGTTCTGAGCTGTTCCCAGAGCCCTCTGGGTAAAGGTTGTGTTGTTAATGGATCAGCTGGATCTGGGCAGTGAGCAGTCAGTTGTTATATGTGTTTTTGAAAAGTTGTGAGTTTCTGTAATGCTCTCTGTTTACGGAGAAAAGGGGTTTTTTGATGAGAAATAAGAGCTGTACTTATCTGAAGATATAAAGATAAGTATTTAGAATCCAGTTAAGATTTATGCAGGTTTAGTAAAATGGCAATAATAGGTTCTTCCCTAGGGTCCATGACTTCCAACCATGGTTAATTGGTAAAGTTTACTATGCCAGATATGAATTCCTTCCTACTGACTGGGCCTCATGTTCAATTAGATGACTGCTGGTTACTTCCAGAATATAAGTGCCATTATTTCACCTTCAAGGTGAGCCATGCTGCACATTGTTGTGATTATCAGCATTATACCTGGGTAGGACTGTGGACTGCTTCCTTTCCTTAGCAAATTACATAGTTCTTTCTGGTTCTATGGAAGTTAGACTGCAAGAAGGAGGTTTTCAGGTTAGATCCAACTCAAATATCCTAAGTCCTGCATATTAAGTGTGTGCTGTCAACAGTAGGGATGTATATTCAACCTCTGGAAGGCAACCAACAGCAACAGCAGTAAATATATTCTTTTGGGGGTCACTTGAATTTCTCTTATCAACAACTTGAAATCAGGTTGCCCATGCCTGACACTGGCATTTTTACTGATAGTCTCTGGCTTTTTGGTAACACTATCAAACCAACTGACATAATTTCAATTATCTATATTATGTATGTATGCATGCATGTATGTGTGTGTATACAATACAATTTTATGCATATATTATCTATTTTAAGTACCCACAAAATAAATTGGTTCCCCTTGACCTTTTCAAACATAGTTAGTGTTATTTATGCTCCCACCATCTCCTGTGTCGTCCTTACTTTGCCCCTCCAAAACCAAGTATTCCCTCTGTTTTCCCTTTCATACCACCCATGCTCCACTTTTCTTCTCCCTAGAACTCCCCTGCCCCCTTCTCACAGGTTTTCTTTTACATTCTTGGCATTTGTGGATAGCAGAAGAACTAGGACCCACAAATAAGAAAAAACATTCAGCATTTGTTTTTTTGGGTGTGGGTTACCTCACTCATTACACTCTTTTAATTCTATATATTAACCTGAAAATTTCATGAATCCATTTTTCTTTGTATCCGAATAATGAGTATACACACCCATTTCCACCATTCATCCATCTGGTGAAAGGCATTTTAGTTGTTTCCTTTTCCTAGTTATTGTGGTTAGAGAGCCATGAGTATGGCTGAGCAAGTATCTGCTGGAGTCTAGTCCTTTGGGCACATGTGGAACAGTGGTTTAGTTGGATCATAAGGTAAAATTTTCTTTATGAATATTTTGAAGATTCTCTACACTGATTTCAGAGTGACTGCACCAGTTTGCAATCCCATAAATAGTGAATGAAGAATCCCCCTTCTCTACATCCTAGTCAGCATTTGTTGTCAGTTGTTTTCTTGATTTTAATGGTTCTGACTAGGTAAAATGAAATCTCCACCAATGTTTTATAAGGAAAAACAACAACAAGAAAAGAAATAAAAATCACTAACACTCTCAGATAGAAAATCAAAGAAGTTAAAATGTAGTGATTATAAAAGGTTAGTACAGCACAAATAATGTTATACACAAAGAAAAATGATATGATACTGTATGTATCATGCTCTTTAAATAAGCAAAATGTATGCATACATAAAATGATACAAGACCAGGGTATTTGCTTGTTTATGTATAACATTTATGGATTTTGAAAATGATATATACTATAATTCTTCAATTAGCATAGTGAACACTCCAGCACTGATTTTTAAATCTATTGTATTTTACCTTTTAATTATATGTATTATGTGATATCCCTCTTTCTGTGTGTGTCTGTGTGTGTGTGTGTGTGTGTGTGTGTGTGTGTGTGTGTGTGTACAATGTGAGTAAGAGTTCCCATGGAGGCCAAAAGGTTTTGATGCCCTGAAACAGGAGTTACAGGGAGTCATGAACTGCCTGATGTGGATGCTGAGAAAGAAACTTGGGTCCTCTGCAAGAACAGTAACTGCTCTTAGCTGCTGAGCTAGTTTCTAGTCCCAAATATTGTTTCCCATAATGAATATAAAAGTACAAAACAAACAAGAATGAGACTGCTCCATCTCAGCAACATTGAAATGGAATCAATTTTTAAATAACAGCTTACTAAGACATGTTGTTCATTTCACTCAAAGAATGTAATTCCAAGTTTTGTTAACATGTTTATAAAGTGATTTGTCATCACAATTATAGAACGCTTTTTATCATTCCTGAATTATCAATCTCTGTCCATTCACAGTCATTCTCCAATGTAGAATCATACTTAAATGCAGGCCATCCTGTTTCCATAACACTTTGAATCAGCTCCAAATCTTAGGTGCTTGCACAGTGTCCTATGAGAACATTCAGAAAGTGTCTTTTCTAACAAAAACCTATTTTAGTGGTGGAGCAATCCTTATTCACTGTGCTGTGTGAGCTTATAAGCAATTACTGTCTTTGGTGGAAGTCTTAACCTTTCCTGTATACTCTCCTTATATGGCTGCTTGAATGAGAAATGCCCCCCATAGGCTTGAGCATTTGAACATTTGGTTCCCAAGTGGTGTCACTGTTGGCTGTGGTTTAGGAGACACAGCATTCCTGGAGGAAATATGTTATTAGAGACAGGCTCTGAGGTTTCATAGTCTTACCCATTTCCAGTTCTCTCTCATTCTCTCTGAATCATGCTTGTGGTTGAGTATGTTATCTCCTTGCATCCTGCTCCAGCTTCCATGCCTCCCTTCCCTGATGGTCTCTTAAGTCCTAATAAATTCTCTCTTCTGTAAGTTATCTTGGTCATGGTGCTTTATCACAGTCTCAGAAAAGAAATGCACATACACACATGAGCACACCACACACAGTATATATATACTGATAGTTCTCAATGTGCTGTGAAGACAGCACTATGAAGTACTAAATACATACATATTCATATGTTTGTATCTCATTATATTCAGTACTCCATATTACTACTTTATCACCTGTAATTCTAGCATTATTATAGCTCACATGTAACATGAAAAGATTCCCTAATATGAAAAAGCAGTAGCTATAGCCCACAGGAATCATAGCCCCTTTGTCTTTAATGTGTGTTCAGTGAAATTAGCTATTGTCCTCGTAGTTCATTTTTCTTATCAGAAAACATAAGATTGATTCTATCCATCATTTATAAGTGATAAGTCTCAGCTAGTTATTAAATTACCAGGCAAGATGTAATGAGCCCAAAGTCCTTTAGTATTATCAGACTTAAAGATCAGTAGAAGGTTTGTCTGCCAAGTTTCACTTTAAACATTTTTAGAAAAGCAGAGTGCCCATCTCTGGAGAGGGTATTTAATATGGTGCTCTGTGTTATCAACCTCCTGATTAAATTCCATTCTTTCCACTTCTGTAGGAAAGAAATTAGTGTGGATATTTCTCTCTTTTGCAGCTAGTATAGTTCTGATCACACAATGTAAATAATTGCTTTCTAATTTTTCCAGGGCTAGGGATCAAACTTAGGGACTTACACTGCTGGACAAACTCCTGCCATTGAGATAATCTCCAGATGCCCCTACTTGTTGTTCAGTAAGACCTTATTGTATAGTGGCATTGCTCTTAAACTTGTGATCCTCCTGATTCTGCCTCCTGAATACTAAATTACACATGTGATAATACTCCCAGCTAATTATCTGTGTTTTTCTGTTGGAATTATTTTTAAGTTATCATACAAAGTAATGGGTCTAATTATGACTTTTTTCATTCCATGCCAGCCATTATAATTTGTTCTTATTTATCCCCTGCTTTTACTGCTCTACCCTATTTTCCAAGCCTCCTCTTGTTCGTCCCTTCCCCACTCTTGTGTAATGTCACCGTGATCTTTCTGATACATATGTTGTTTTCAATACTCACTATTCCATTCTCAAAATGCTAAAGATGGAGCAAAATAAACATTGTGGTTAACTTGAAACATGCATCATTACATTTTCATTCATTTCATTATGTATCATTGTCAAGCCTCCAATTTTTCAGAAACCTTTCATCCAGTTTATAGTTCATGTTCTTCTCTATGACATTTTAAACTTCTTTTTGTATCTCCACAAAGGTTTGATCAAGAGACACAACAGTGTTATAGTTTACAAATATTGTCTGACATTTTTTAATCTCTGAAGACCAGTCAGTTCTGGGAAAAGCTAATGTGGTATGGATTCTGGTCTTACAATAAACTAGTTTATAAATAGTTTTGTGACTCAAAGCTCACTAAAGATAATCCCATCCTTCTAAAATGCCCATTCCTTTTATTAGAGTGACTCAGGGACCCCACTAATGACTAGACTAGTATGAATGAAAATCCTTGACTCCAGGGCAGAGAAATGACTCAACGGGTAAAAGTAATTGCTACACAAGCAAAGGATCTAAGTTCAGACCCCAAAACTGTGTGTGTGTGTGTGTGTGTGTGTGTGTGTGAGAGAGAGAGAGAGAGAGAGAGAGAGAGAGAGAGAGAGAGAGAGAGAGAGAGAGAGAGAGAGAGAGAGAGAGAGAGAGAGAGAGAGAGAGAGAGAGAGGAGAATCCCAGGGTCTGCTTACCTACCTAGTACCAGGTTCAGTAAAAGACCTTGGCTCAAGGGGGTAAGGTAGAGAAATAGGGCAAGACACCTAATGTCCTCTTCTGGATTCCAGAAGCACGAGCATGCATGCACAGGCAATGCACATATAAACATATACATAACACACACACACACACACACACTTTATCTTGCTGTTTTGGGCGATTATAAGGAGCTATGTCACATCTAAAAAACTAAACTATCTGTGGAATCCTATGGGTAAATAATAGATAAGTAGGTCTTTTTAAAATAATTCTTAGGTGAAGTAGGAAATCAAGTTTAAAAATCGTGACATTGGAGTTAATTCATTCTTTTATAATTTCATTTAAGTTTAAATTTATAATTTAAGAGAATAAGCAGCATAGAAAAATGTTATCAACTTTGCCTATGTTAAAATACTTTTTGTTGCAGTCTGCTTTTTCAAAAGTAAGTAGTTGTAGTGACATTCGTTGATAAATACTCTTATCAGTATATGTAATATTGTTTTGTATGTTTAAATATTTTTGGGAGGAGCAGGGATGCTAGGGATAGAACTTAGGTAGTCTGTCATTGATCTATATTATTATTGCATACCTCTATCATTTATTATACCTTTTGAAAATTTGCCTTTTTCACTTTAAATATATCATGAGCATTTCCAATTACTAAATATCCTTATATAGCTGTATTTTATCATTATGTAATATTCATTTGTGTAAACTTAGTTATTGTACTAGTATGATGGTAGTTTCCAATTTTAATATTATATAGAAATACTTATTGAATCTTATCACATATCAGTAATTATTCTCTATACAATCTGGAATTAGAATTTCTAAGCCAAAGACTGAGTGTTTGGAGATTTTGAATACTGTTAACAATATTGAGGCAATTTAAATTCCGACAGTATGAGAACCTGTTTATCTGTTCTCTTGCTAATTTGCAAACACTGAAGATTAATATTTTCTTAAGTCTTTGTCAATTTGATAGACAAAAGATTATATCTCATTGTTGTAATTTAAATTTCAAAAACTTTTGTTGAAAACTTAATTGGTGTCTCAGTTTTCTGTTGCTGTGATAAAATATCTTGACACAGGCAACTTAAGGGGGAAATGTTCATTTGACTGCATAGTTCAAGGCCACAGTCTATTATGCTGCAGGAAGTCACAGGACCCAGAGCTTGAAGAAGCTAGTTACTTTGTTCCAACAGTAAAGAATCAGAGAGTAAGGGGTGAATATGGCATGCTTCTCTCCACATATTCAGTCCAGGATGCCTGGCTCAGGGAATGGTCCTACGTACAAATAAGAGGTGTATTCCCACATCACTTAACACAGTCAATTTAATCCCTGTAGGCATGCATAGAGGTCTATCTCCATTGTGATTCTGTACTTTATCAGGTTGACAGCTAACACTAAACACTACAAGTGGCTAATGATTTCTTTCTTTTTTTCTTCCTTTCTTTCTTTTTTTTTCTTTTTTTCTTTTTGGTTTCTTGAGACAGAGTTTCTCTGTATAGCCCTGGCTATCCTGGAATTCATTCTGTAGAATAAGCTGTCCTTGAACTCACAGAGATCTGCCTGCCTCTGCCTCCCAAATTCTGAGACTAAAGGCATGCACCACCATGCCCAGTTAGGCTAATTCTTTGAATTACTACTTAGTGTCTTCTTTTTTTTTTACCAAAGTCTGTGGAAAGAAAATTTACTTGTATAATCCAGACTGACTTTAAGCCCTCAGTCTTCCTGCTTTGGATTTTCCAAGTGCTGGGTTTCCAGATATGCTCTACCATGTCTGGTTTTGCCTGTTTATGTTTAACTTGTGATATTTGAGGACACATGTTTTTATGATCAGTCCATTACATTTTTCCTCATGATATTTCTTGTGCTAATATTCTACATCTTTATACTAATATCCCTTCATGATAAATACTAAATCTAGAGCCTTGTGCATGCTATGAACATACTCATCTAATGAGCTATACTTCCAGTGTGAAGACTTTTTTAATTTGGACTGTAAATTTTTACAACTTTGGGATTCATGAGGCATTAATTTGAATTGTTGCTTGAATGAAAGAAACCTTACTTTTTTCTATAAATGACTATGTGTTGGTCTTCCTTTATTACAAGGATGGTCACAGCTTTCAGATTGTGAATGAAGAAACCTTTTGCAATGAAATACTTCCAAAATACTTCAAGCATAACAAAATAACCAGCTTTATACGACAACTCAACCTGTGTAAGTAGGATTTAATTGTACAATTATTAACATTTGACACAAAATATCTGTTTTGTTTTCAACGTATAAATATAAGTACAAGTTAAGTGAAAAGCTTTACTTTAGTATATTATTTAAATTTTGCAGAGCTTTTTTTGTATTGGCTAAAGTTACTTTTCTATTGATGTGATAAAACACTACAACCAAGACAACTTATAAAAGAAAGAATTTGATGTGGACCTTATAATTCCAGAGGGTTAGAGTACATGATCATAATGGTAAGATCATGACAGCAGACCAGCAAGCATGACCCTGGAGCAGTAGCTGAAAGCACACATCTTGAAGCACAACCACAAGGCATAGAGAGCTCACTGGGAATGGTGTGAGCTTTTGAATGCTCAAAGCCTACCCCAGTGACACATCTCTTCCAAAAAGGCCACATCTCCTAATCCTTCCCAAACTATTTTGCCAACTAGAGACCAAGTATTCAAACATATGTACCTGTGGCAGCCATTCTCCTTTGAAACATTTCAAACATAAAATTTACCTTTCAGAAAAGACTTCATTTAATTTTTTTGAGTTCAGAATCATACAGATGAATGGGACCAAAGATTTATCTAGTTTAAGCTTACTGTGATAGCGCTAAAGAATAGGGACTAAAAATGTTAGGTATACTTGATCTAGATTGTACAGCTGTGCAATTCATTACCTTAATTAAATATATTTTAGTTCTATTTCTAATCTTTAAAGTTTGGAAAGTTTTGCATAGCACAAATATGAATTATACTGTTCCACAGGCCTGATCTTTCAACATATTTTTGTGTTACTAGTATGGAAAAATTATAAATACAAACATTATTGACAAACAACATATATTTATGAAACCATTAGTGCTTAAATTTTGTGTCTTTAATATTTTTATGTAGTGTTTTATAAATATTTGCTACATTTAAATTCTGTTATCATTTTATGTAATACCATTATTAAGGTTGTTTAGATTTTGGATACTTAAGAATGTTGTTTGTTTTATTTTTTCAAAATTTTCTTTGCGAACATTTATTATTTTATAGTTAAAATTGTGTACTATTGTTATAAAATATCTTTAAAAAAGATCAGGTTTCTTTTTGGTAGTAGAGTTTCTCTGAGGGACCGACTTGGTGTTTACAATTGTTCTTCCTAGTCTCTCCTCACTTATCACAATTAGGGCAAAAGTTTCCATGGTCATACTGAATCTTCTTTGTAATTAACCAATGAATTCCTCTTTGGTGTATTCATTGATCATAACTGCCTACTTTCAAGGACTAAGTTTGAGAAGTAGTATATGTGGTGGTGTTTTAAATAATCCAGAGCAATAAGCACAGAAATTTGATGTTTATTAACAGCAAATAATATTTTACTTAAAATATTTAATATATACCAATTGTAGCTGTAAGCACAGTAAAAAATAAATATAAATATTTCTTTATTAACTCTCAATTTAATACATGCAGTTATTCTGCCCTATTGTTTCTCTTTATCTTTCAATGTTATGGCATTACTATTTAACCAATCTTACTTTAACTGCGGACATGATTTATTTTCACACTTATGGAGAAAAGAAAACCATTCTCTTAAGTCCTTTTACTTTCATCAGCTCTTGCAGTTTCTCTGCCTTAATTCCATCCAATATATTAAAAAATCAAAAGCCTTGAGCCAGGATCATTCATAATGGGAACAGGTAGTATATTGCTTTCAGTGACAGAATTACCTTATTTAATAATAATATTTTCTAGTCTTAGTTATTTTTCTACAGATTTTCTTTTTTATTGCTGAATGAAATTTTATTGTGTATATGCCATGTTTTCTTTATCCATTCATGTATTGATGGAAATCTAGGTTGAATTTATTTCCTTGCTGTTGGGAATTAGAGTGAATATGTATGTTTGCCCAGGAATGCTGAATTTGATGCTAAATATGCTTTAATTATTTTTGAGAAACCCCCACTTTAATTTTCATAGTGGCTATATAAGTTTTCCCTCTTATAAACAGCATCAGGGCTCCCCTTTCCCAGAAGAATTTGTTTTCATTTTCTTTATTGATGAGACCCACTTCAGCTATGGTAAGATGGGATCCCAAAGTAGTGTTAATTTGCATATTTCTAATAGCTAAGGATATAGAACACTTTATAGAACATTTGTTGTTCATTTGCGTTTTTCTTTGAGGACTGTCTCTTCAGTTCATTGGCTCATCTATTGACAATTTTAATTTTTAAGTTTTTATATTTTTATACTATTCTTCATCTGAAGTACACCTGGCAAAGATTTTATCCCATTGTGTAGACTGTTTGCCTTTTAAAGCTTGACACTGTGATTTCTCCTGCTTGGTTTTCTTCAAATTTGCTGTGACTACTTGTAGTACAGTTTTATTTTTTATCCCATTCTCTCTCTCTCTCTCTTTCTCTCTCTCTCTCTCTCTCTCTCTCTCTCTCTCTCTCTCTCTCTCTCTCTCTCTCTCTCTCTCTCTCTCTCTCCTTCCTTCCCTTTCTTTCTTCCATTCTCCTGCTTCTTTTTATTCTTAGACAATTCCATACACGAGTGTACTGGCTTTTTAAGGGGTCATTTTCATACCCATTATTCCTTTTTGTGCTTCTCTCTCTGCCATGGAAATACTACTTCTTACCAACAAATCTTCCTCTGATGGGTTTTAATATGTATGATCCACTGAATTTAATTATAATTTCTTGTCCAAGTATAGGTATGAAGTTATTTACTAGATCAAGGATAACTTACCAAGTGACAACAACACTGAAGAAGCTGACATCAACAATCCCAGTACCCATTAACCACCCATAGTCCTTCAGTGACATGTTAGGTTTCATGAGCCCTTCTCCTTTGCATGATGTTATGGTGATGCAAGTTTTGTTCTGGTAAGCACAGCTGTGGTGACTTTATGAGTGTAATGGCCATATACTTTCCAGAATCTGCTGTTTCTCAGCATTCCCCTTTAGCCTTTGGCTCTTACCTTCTTTGTGTTCATGGATCAGGTAATAATACATATCCCATGTAGGGTAGATCATTCTGTTATCATTGATTTCATGTACTTTGAACAGTTGTGAGTCTGTGCACTAAGTGCCTCCCATTTCAAAAGAAGCTTCTCTTTCAAAGGCTAAGAATGGCACTAGTATATGGATGCAAACATGCATTATAAAGGGCAGTTTGACAGGATTGCTATTTAACAAAACAACAGTCACATCTAACTTCTCTAAGGCCTAGGACCTCCTCAGCCATAGTCTCTTATCAGATTAACAGTACCAGGTATGAGGTCCCTTCTGTGGAGTGGGCCACAAATCCATTTTAAAAACGGTTAATTGCTTCCATAGTTATCATGACAACTTTGCACTAATTGGCACATCTTGCCATGCAGACCACTCATGTGGTCCCCAGCAACCTACATAGCAACTTCTGATGCTGGGAAAGCTAGCAAATGCAGAGGAAGCTTCTCACACTGTTCCAGCTTGATTTCTCTGTGTACTGAAGCGCATATGTGTGAACACATTTACCTTCTTTTTAAAAATAATATGATTTATTTCTTCTTTGAAAATGCCATTCATATCCACAATGCATCTTGACCATAGTCACCTTTACTACCTATCTCCAACTCCACCCCCCTAATTCATTCCTGTATTATTTCCCTAGCACATTTGATCTAATTAATGCTGCCCATAGGAACATGGGTGGGGGTCATCCAATGGGGCATGATAAACTTACCAGTGGTCAAACCCCCAAGTGACTTTCCCTTCTCAGTAGCTATCAACTGTCAGTACTTCCTCATCTAGGGGTGGCACTCAGTCCTTCCTCCATTCATGCAAGAATGTTGACTGGCTTGATCTTCTGCTCATCTTATGCAGGTAACCACAGCTGCTGTGCATTCCCTTTGTGCATCACCCATGTCATGTCCAAAACAGCATTGCACAGCACTGGTCTCCATCCTCTGGCTTTTATATCCTCTCCCCCTCTTTCTCGACGTCCCCTGAGCTTTGGATAGTGTAGGTTCTTATAGATACTGATTTATGGCTGTGAACCCATGCTCACTCTTTCTTATCATTTTGTTAAGAAAATGATTAGAAAGAAAATGATAACTCTCTGGATCAATCAATTTCCCTGTCAGAAAAGGAGGTTCTCTGATTACATTGAGAGCAACATTATTCTGTATGTATAAACAAAAATATTTAGGTGATGGCAGTTTGATAACATGACCACACTTAGCAAAATGGCAACAACAGAGTTTTCATATAGGGACAGTGACCTCCTCAGACATGAATTGCTGATTAGGTTTATAGTACCATGCATGACTTAACTCCTGTGGAAATGGTCTCAGATTTCCAAGTTGTTTGCCCAGATAATAATCATGCACAATTAGCCACATCTTAGTAGGCATGTCAGTATTATAGGATGTAGAGTTCAGGACTGGATTAAGATGACCTGTGCCTTTTATCCTCCAGCATCCTAAATAGCACCTCCTGGAACTGTGAAAGCTAGCCAATAGAGAGAAAGCTTTGTGACTGATTTCTTTATCCTACATCCAAAGTGTGTGGTGTCTTCAGCAGTAGGGCTAAGCTTCCCTCCACTTCTGCTTTTTCCCCATTTCTACCCCCACTCCCAATTAAGCCTTTAACTCTCAGTGTCACCCTAATTTTTCCAGGTCATATGTGTTCAACTGTAGCCTCTTACTACATTTTTACAAGTAAAAAATGTGTAGCTTTATTTTGGTTAATCCCCATCCCCTTTTCTCTATTTCTCCACCCCACTGTCTCTTTGAACTTGTTTGCCTCCAATATTCTCCTTTACTTTCATTTACCTGCACTTTACTAATCTAAGATCCACATTTGAGGGAAACCATGTGGTGCATGTCTTTCTGGGACTGGATAATTTCAATCAATAGAATACATCCCAGTTCTTCCCATTCACCTACAAATTTCATTTTGTTTTTCTTTGTAGTGGAGAACGTCTGTTGCTTATATCTACTACATTTTCTTTACCCAT